GTCATCCGTGTCGATTTGGATCTTTCATTCTATGACATGATTGAATAACCAGAGGAAAAAAAATACATGCAACTCACCATTAGATGCGATGAACAATTACAAATATCATGGAACTAGGAGAAGTCATCAAAAAGGTTGTCATCAAATAACAAATGTAAAAAGAAGGAAACATCTGCAATAAAAACATTATATAATTTTATATTTTACATCATATATAATTTAAAACGCAAATTAAAAAATTGAAATAATTATAAATGAAATTATTATAAATTTTAAATAATTATATTGAAATTATATTTGCAATATAATAATATTAAAGATTGAATTTCCAAAATTATAATAATAACAATTAAAATCTTAAAACAAAAACTTAAAGTATAAACATTTCAAATTTCTAATTTTAATATTTTTCTGAATACAAATTTAGATAAGGAAAAAAAATAAAAATTTAGATAGAATTAAAAATATTAAAGTTATCTTTTTGCTGGATGATTCTCTTGTGATGAATGATTTATTCTTTTAATACACACTAACTCTAATATTGAAAATGAAAAAAATAAAAAAAAAGAAACAAGATTATTAACACGTTCACTTATAAGCGGTAAACAAACACTGACTCTAATTTCGCGAATGATTATTGATAATTAAATTAAATTAAAACTTTATATATTCTAAAAAATATTGAAAATTTATACTATTACGCAACAAACACTGACTCGAAAGACCGCATTGCGCGCAGTCACAAACCTTTCAAATATGAAGTTTTTACCGCCTTGTTCAACACAACAATTAATAACCTATAATAAAAAAAATTAAATTTAATTGAATTATTATAAACTTAATTGAAATATTATATAAAAAAATAAAATAATAGTTTTAGAAGAAATAACTACGCAGTAAAAAGAAGAAAAACGCAATAAGAAAAAACAAATCACATTGTCATCAGTACGTATATATTATTTACAAAATGGTGCCCTATACCGCGATTCCTCTATATAATTTCAAAATGAAGAAGGGATTTGTTTGTCAATTCGATAACATATCGAGCATATATGAACACAAACTTTTACTAAACACTAATTTCTTGGAAAGATTAAGAAATGTCCTAAAGAATGTTTTGATGCTAAACATAACATACAACAGAGAGAAATATATAAATAATAGATAAGATTCATATAGAAGGATCTATTTAGAAAAGAAATATGTATATTTCAAGAATTTACGAAATAAAATTAAATGATTATAATAAATTCATTATTTTCATAAAAATGAATATATGAATAAAAAAATATATTAAAAAAAAAAATAATAAAAACTTACTCTATATACATTTACGTTTTGTAAAAGAAATAAAATTAGAGATTTTTTTGCAGAAAATTCGTCAAATTGTTATGGCGTAAATTGCTATGGCGTGGCTAACCCATTATCCCTTTGATCATTTTCAACAATGAAATAATAATTTATATAAATAAAAAAAACAATAAAACAAATGTATAAAATTATAATTATATTAAAATAAAACAGTGAATTAAATTCTGATTTAGAATTATATAATACGAAATACTGGTAACCAGATAACCATTGTGAAATATCAAAAAATTTCACAAAAATTATTTAATTTCAATATGATAAATGATTAAATGAACACTTATTGATTAAACACTATTAATAATACTTTATAAACTATAAAAAATACTAACAGAATTATTGAACAAATAAATCACATATTTTAAGCCGGTTGACACGTCCAGTCGCCATGATTTTTGGCGGGAGAATGACGTTTCATCGCGCAAGTTCACCACGCAGCTTTCCTATTGGCTGGAGTAATACGACTTTTTTCAATACAAACCGCGCGAAAAATTAAAATATATGTATCATAAAAATTTTTTAATTAAAAAAATACAAAACATTCCGACTTTATAATTATAAAAAACATTTGATGTTTTAATTTTTACTTAATGGATGTATAAATATAGATACGAATGAGAAATTTTCTAAAAAAATTATTTTAATTTATTTTATGAAATGTTTTCGCAGTAAGCAAAACTTAAAACATGAATATATATTATACAATTATAATTTAAAAGAATAATTAAAGCCAATATTTTTATAGTATAAAATAAAATAATATGTTTATTGAGAAATTTCAAATTTATATTTTCTTTATAATATACATTTTCATAAATTTATTAACGTTTACAGAATACATTGTTACGAACTATAACATCATTCGATATATAAAATTATTATGCTATTAAAATTCTAATAAGTTGATTAATATATTATTTATGTGAGAATATAAGAAAGAATATAAAAAAAAATATAAGAGAATTTTTCTATTTATCGAATTTATCGACTTTACCAATCTAGTTTAATCGAATATAGTTCCTAAACTTATCGCTTTAAAACATAGAGGGCATAACAAAACCCTTAATTTTTTGCACAATCGATATTTCAGAACATACAACTTTAAAGTTTCATGTTATAAGTTTTTTTTACTAAATGTTATAAGTTTTTTTAAATAAATCATTTAATCTTATACATCATAATTCATAATTAACAATTATCTATTCATGAATTCATTATTCGAATTAAACAAATATTCAATTTCAGTTAAGTATTCGATTTAAGTATCCTAAGATATAATTAATCATTCTGCAAAAAATTAAAAAATGAATCAATGACAATTGAGCGACTATGTCTTTTATTCGATATATATATATAAATCATTATTAATATTAAAATAACATAATTATTTGTTTCTCAATAAAAGAAAGTAATAAATATTCGAGAAATTATTTCACAATTATAATATTATTATTGTAATATAAAACGAATTTTGTGAAAACCAGATGGCAGTAGCAGTAATATATCATTCTACTATATAGGTATGATATGAAAATAATAAATCTCGCTATTTATCGTTGTAACTATTGCACGCATGTGAATTGCACCGTGAATACAATAGGATATCATCTTTAGAAATATCTTGCCCTTGTAAATTCCATGTTACAAAAGCTATCATACTTTACACTGCATAGCAATAAAACGAACCAGCGAAGGGCATGAAAAGCTCTTACAGAAATCTGACTCATTGAAAATAGTAGCTTGTTGTATGTGAGAACATTGTTCTCTTTTGTCACAGTCAATCTTTTTTCTTTAGCAATATAGATATTTGCTATTATTTCACAAAAGATTCATTTTACGAGATTAATCAGGTTATCTTTGAAACGATTTAAAATATTTCCTCGTTTTTTAATCAATAATTCAAGAATATAGGTTAGTATTAGTTGTATAAAAATTGTTTATATCTTTGTAAGTTTTTAGAATGCTTATATTCAAAAAGAAAAATATATAAATAGTATTATTCTCATTACAAAAATTAAATATAATTCTATTATTCAAAACTTATTGATTTTAATTTTTTTTAAAATTAATAAATTAGAGCCTGTTTTAATTTATTTCAAATCAAAGAAATTCTATTTTCTAAAAATTAAAAATTTTTTAATTCTTTTTTTTATTTAGTTTTAGTTTTAAAATTAACTCTCATTCAAGTTTATTCAGAATTAAATTTTGTATTAAATTGTATTAATAAAAAAATAAATTCTATTTTTTTTATATTTTTTATTTATTAAAATATTAAATATTCTGTTTATATATTTTCAGGCATACTTAAAAGCAAAACAATAACAATAAACACATACTATTGAAAATAACATGCATCATTCTTGAAACTTTCGAAAATTCATGGAAATTATATAATTGCCTTATCTGCTCTCTATTTGCGCAAATACTTTATGCTTAACAAAGGAAAAACGTAGAAAACTACATGTTATATGATCATGTGCATTAAGCAAGACTAAGTATACAGATTTTTCATACAGATTTCCTAAAACGAATACAATACATAAATCGAATCTTTTACGCAATATCTCCTTACTTTGAATTAACCAAACTATCCGTCAATTTGCATAATCAACATAAAACATAAATTATCACACATTGACGCTTTTTTCTTAATGATATAACTTATTGCTTTAAAAATTATCAAGCAAACGTGACCTATTCGTTCACCACCACCCACATTCTTCGCTACTCCTACATAAGTGACACAAATGTCAAACTTAAATCGAGAAACTAAGCTATTTTATATTATTTAAATTCTAAATGTCGGTTAGAAAAATATTCAAAGACCAAAAATAAAATATATTTAACAATATTCCTGTTTTTTTAGAGATTTTAAAATTCAATGATCTTTCAATGTTTCGTAATTATATCTTCATAAATATGAATGTAATTGAGAGTAAGAATAAGAAAAAGAATAGATAATTTCTTTTTTTTTTGATTTCCTATCTTTTATGTCACGTAAATAAAAGGAATTGTTTTAATGTATCAAAGATAAAATACTGAAAACTTTGATAGATTCCATGATATAATCATTTTCATCATAAATGTACAGGAAAATAATCTAAAACTATATCTAAAACTTTGAAACTGTTCTCTAAAAAATTAGAAAGTGTAACACCAACTTTTTCTTTTGTAGTTTATGTAGTAATCTACATGAATCATGATAGAATATATATTTTTATTAAAAAAAATTTCTTTCTATTTATAGAAAATCATAATTTTTCTACAATTTCGTCAGATAAAGACACTTTATGAATATTTTAAGTATATCTAATAATATTTTACAAACATTTTAAAAGCATCTCTCGAAAGTCTTGTTAAAATCAACAAGTTTTAAAGAAGATATTGTCATGCAACCACTTTATCTATTAATATTTACATACATATCTTTTGCTTTACTTGGAAAAAAAGACAATTATATTAATTAATAATAATAATATTACAAAAGTATTTAAGTCGAAGAACCCAATCTTATCTGAACCTCCCTCGACGTCCTTCAAAGTAAGACGTACAGTCTTAAAATAAACTTACAATGAATGCCTTTAAATTGACATGTGCTATCTACATATACATATATAAATTTTAAAATAAAACTCTTCAATTATTCCGTTTCTTGAAAATTATAAAAATTTATTATACTATTACATTATATTATAACTTATATAAAACTACTAAATTATCCATGTATATTATTATGAATACTTCATATTCATTATACATTCAACGCTCCGATAAAAAAGTTATTAATCCACTAAAACAGCAATCATAGTTAATCATACTCGATAAAAACTAATTAATCAGCATTATTAAAAAAAAATATCCATGATAATCGAACTACAAATAATAAATTAAAAAAATCACAACATGTCATTTTCCTTAGCAAAATTCCATACTAGAATTCTGATGTTAAATGATTGAATTCTGATTCTGATGTTGAATGATGAGAAAGAAAAATGATTTTAATTCGAATCATTGAACGATTAGCTTTTCAAAGATGTTGCCCCTGGAATTCGAATTAAATAAATCACCGTCAGGCTTGGTGAAACCTTTTCGTACTCGAAGTACAGAAAGGTTTCGTCTCGGTTTCCCTCGTACAATCCCCTTAACTCGGAGTGGATCGAACTCTGGTGCATGCTCGAGGTTCTCGAGATCGCATCTCTTCACGAATGCTCTCACGTGATACCACTATAATGTCATACGTCGTAACGATCGGTGCATAGTAATAGTCCAAGAACAAACCTGTCACGTTACACGTGGCCATGTATATGGACAAACATGTATACAGATATAAATCATTCCACTCATACATGGACGAATTTACACAGACATGTCAACTGACCGATCGATCGAATTAATATTCTCGATTGTTGAAGCATAGAATCGATGCACATTGGAATTCCTCTTGGTATGCTTGATTAGTTTCCTTCTTTGCTGACGTTAAAATTTTGAAAGTTGAAAAATATTGTGGAATACGAATTGCTGCATCAGAACTTCTGAAATTATTTAGTTTCTTTTACAATTAACACATTATAATAATATGGATTAAATAAATTAAATATATTAAATTATAATGTAGTAATGTAATAAATAAATTAAATATATTAAATTAAAATATAGTAAATTGAAGAAAAAAATAAGCTGAGTCTAAAATAGGATATGCAAAATGAACAAAATAATTTGATCATCTCATTTATTTTTAATGATTTGAAAAATAGATAAGTATTGAATAGTGCAAAGAAGACTAATACTTGATAATATTTTTGTTAAGTAGATAATTTTATTTATTTATTTTTTTTTTTTTGATTAGAATCATATTCATTTTTTAATGCACATAATTTTTTAATCTTAATTTTTTGTAAATAAGTGTTAATCTATTCTACAAACTATTATTAATTCAGAAGAAATTCTAAATTGAATTTTATAATTTATTAGGAAATTAGAAAAATTATAATAATTATGCTACAATGCCTATTTTTAGAAATTTTTATTTAATTTATAAAGAATTAAAAAAGAATAATATGAAAGGATTATTATTTTATTGAAGTAGTATATAAATAAGTAGAATATAATAAATATTTCGTATTTCGTTTTTTTTTTCATAATTATTTTCTCAAGGTTGAGTGCACAAGCTGTATTGTAAACTCTTCAAGTGGATTTTACATCGTACAAGCGCATCAAGTGCTGATGTATACATAGATACAGAAGTCGAAGAAAGTATTTTAACATATTTTTATGATATAGTGATTGATTAATATTGTTAATAAACCGATAAAAATATATAAATCGTAGATTATAGATTTTTTTTTTATAATTTTAAATTCAAATATTACAATTTGGAATTATTAAGGAAAAATATACAAATTCCCTTGGCCAATAAAGATTTAAATTTTGAACAATAATGTACTTATATACCTGTCTATTAGATTACTCACACAAATAAAACTTAGTACTTGTACAAATTAGAGAAAATTTCGTGGAATTTCACAATCCTTATTGCTCAATCTTGAACTTTGACGTCAAGCTACTTTTGTCACGAATAATCGGCCATGACGGATCGAAAGGAGCCAACATAAAAGATTAACGTCATACGAAAAATTAGAAATTGGAATCGAGAAAGAGGTATTCATCTATTTAGAATTCTTATTTTAACTTCTTTGTCAAATCTATTTAGAATTTATTTACAATTCAATTACTTTGATTTTTTAATATTTTTATGCACATTAATTTACTTATAAATATGTGATATCATTTTATTTATATTCTATATATTTTGCATTTCTCCAAATATTCAAAATATAATTCTAATAATAAATTTTGAATATTTTTATTTTTTTCAAAAAATGAATTTAATAATTTTTATAATTTTTTCATCACAATTTATCTTAGTCGTAAACAGATGTTAACTCCAAATTCGTGACAATAAATACGTATCAAAATTTAAAGCTACAATATTTCTGATTAGATAGGCAATGAAGTACAAAATACGCTTAATGTTCGTAATGAAATTTCCCAACATACCTGTTCCACGAAGCATGCTTTGTAAATTTACATATGCGCGACAATAAGATTTCGTTATAATCTCGTTTACGTACTATTGTAACTAGCACTATCTAATAACTCTATACTTGCATACAATAATACGTTCCTTGATCCTTGATCTTCGTCGTCTTTTTCTCGTAAATAAAGATCATCTTTTTTTTTGAGAAAAAAAAATAATAGATAAGATTTTAAAAAATTTATTTACAAATAAAAAGAGTTAAGAGTTATTTTATCGAAAAATATAATATATTTATTATTCTATATTCTATATTATTCTATATTCTATATTATTATCTTTGTTATTTAATAATTAAAAGTCTATATACGAAGTATTCAGCATAAAAGATTAAAATTTTTAACAGATCATGTATTATAAAATCTAGTTTTATCAAATATCGTCATTAATGATCCAATATCAAATCTTTTCTTTCTTTTTTTTTTTTTCCAAAAAAATCTAAATCAGTAGAAGTAGATCATTTACTTCAATTATTCATAATTAATCAAATTATATTCAAACATAATAATGAATCCAGCATTTGATTTTATTTTAAATTCTGATCCTAAAGAATTAATTTTAAATTCTTTAATTCTAAATAATTTGATAGATCTCTTTTTGAAAAATTCTTAATTTTAGTCAAAATATATGAAACCTTTAATATCAAATTTTTAAAAAATTATCTGATTAATTTTAATAGACTGTATTAGTTTGATTCCTATATAATTTATTTATAATATTATCTAATATAATATTATCTAAATATATATATAAAAGATAAATCCTAATATAGTATATTAATAATAATTATAAAATACATAAAATGATTAAAGTAGCTTAAGACAATGATATTCTTTAATAAACTTTATAGAACTTCTAAATGTCAAGATATATAAAAAAAACTCATAGGTTACACACATAGTAGACATAGTAGACCTTTGACTTTAATTAATATACAAGAGTAATTCATATCTATACATGCTTATTATGCGTCTGTCATTAAATTAACGAATAGAAAAGAATAATAGAAGCGACAGGAAGTGTAATTAGTACACTCCAGCTTATTACATCCCTTATGAATACTTATATAGAAAAAGTATATAAACCCACGTATCTACGTGTATCCACGTAAAAAAAGATGAAGATTTTTCGTATAAAAATAAACTTGAATCACAATCATTTGTAAATTTATTTATTTGTCACATTGAAGGAAGAAAATTATAGTATCCAGCAAAAATCGATATTTATAATCTTTTCTTGTATTAAACTAAGTAAGGATAGCTATTTTAATGAATAAAAATTTCTATTTTCTTGCATTTTCTATTTTTATCACAAAAAATCAAAAAAAAAAAATCAAAAAAATTCTCTTTAATTAGATATTTAATAAAAATTGATTATAATATATTCTAATTATTTAATAAAAAATGTTCGTTCTCAGAAAATAAAATGATTCATCAATCAAATAAGTTTTAAAAATAAAAAAAACTTTTACAGTTATTCTGTTTCATCGTATTATACGTAAATGGTATCAAGTTTCAGAATTTTTGCAAATTACGCAAATCAAATGACGCAAATTTCTTACTCCCGGTATTGGAATTGATCCACAAAGAATGATTCAAAAGTTCAAGAAATCAAATTACCAATTGTGCACGTCAATCCAATCGATTGAAAAAACAAACTACTTCTGTTATCTCGAAAAATATCATTATCATCATAATAAATTGAATTTCGATCGTTTTGATGACGATTTTTCATTCAGTGAATCTAATTTATTTTTTGCTTCCTTTTCATCTTTTAATAAAAAAGATATACTATTTACATGAAAAGAAAAAAACGAATTTATTTACATGAAAGATGAGTCATTTTAGTAATTGTGCTAATTTTGTTACAAATACACAGTTGTCGATGAAAAAAGCTTTGGTTTTCTGATTTTTCTTTGTTCGTTTCTAGCATTCATACGTAATTTCTTTTTAAAAAATTTCAGAATAATTTTGTATATTATTTATTATTTATCATAATAATATAATTGTATATTATTTAAACTATTAAATATATTACTTAAAATTTCTATATTATCTTTTATAAAAAAACTATGAAGTAATTTCTTCTGCTATTCTGACGTATTTTTTTATTATTGAAGAAAAATTTTTATTAAAAAATTAAATAGTTAATATTAAAAATGAATTTTATAATGTCATTATTCTATTATAGTATTCTTTCATGATTATGATTATTAATTAAAATAAAAAACAAAATCATCATGGATCATTTTGTTCATAATAAAATTAAAATGTATCTTGTTTTTTTTAAAAAATATATATATTTATTTTATATCAGAAAAGATCGTCCTTTTTTAAAAAAAGCTTTATTCTATAGCATACAGATTTATTATTGGTACAAGGTTTTTTAAGAAATTCAAGAATTTAATCTCAATGTTCCGAAAGTGTATATTAGCCATCAATTATTCTTGAAAAATAACGAAATTAAATGATGCCAAAAATCTGTCCTGCAAAACATCTTTTACAAGGAGAGAAAATATTTGTGGATTCTCTGAACACGAATTATAGCAATTTTCTTTTTATGTTACAAACGAATGAAATGTTATTTTACGAATGAAATTAAATACATTTTTTACTATTGCCCATCAAGGTGTTTATATTTCTAAATATTTCGCCATTTTTGAGGCTGCAGAAAAATGGTATTTCATTGATCATAAATATTCATACGAATTTGTTCGATTTCATTTTTTTCTAAGTATTCCTTTTCCTGTGACAACCATTATTAAATTTTGTCTATTCGTTTAACAATTTTTATAATTATTTTTTAATAAAAATATTTTTAATGGAAAATTTTTTAATTATATTTTCCTACAAATGAATTTTAAACTATATTCATTATTATAAATTATATAATTGTATAACATTATGATATTAAAATGCATAATATTATTAAATATAATTTAATATTATGATATTAAATTATTTGTTGTCAAAAGTATTAGTTATATTTTAATTAAAATTAAAATTTTGTCATACAAATAATAATTTGTTTAGATAAAAATTGTATAACAAATATATGATTTCGAATTATAAAATAATAATATACAAACTTATTCTATTCTTTTCAAGAATAATTTCATTTTTATAAAATAATTTATGCAAAGATTCGGACTTATTTTTAATACCTGATCCTTAAAAATTAACTAAATTAACATGCACTATCTTCATAAAAAATTAGATCAAGGCTGATTGTTTCCAATCCATTATTCAGACCATTATTCTATAATTGGAAAACTACTTTCCTATTATCGTGATCGTACATATCAAAATATTATCACGTTGAAGAGTTTTCATATATTCTGATATTACGATGAATTCTATATAATCTCTTTTTAATATCTCTTGAAAATATTTTTTACTTATGAATGAAAATGCATATCATTTCTTTATTATTTTATTAATATTTTATTATTTTTCTATAAACTTTAAACTTTTAAGTCATTATCATTGCAATTTTTTTTACAATAATTACATCTATAAATTTTAATATGTTTAATTAGGGTAATTTATACAATTAATGGATATTTTATCACCTTTTAACGATATTAGTGTGACGTAAAAGAATATATAACATTGATCAACTAAGATGAAGTTAAAGTTGTTGATCTATGAATAATTGTAATTTTGTATGCAATAAAATATACGTTTATACGTACGTATGAATATTTATTCGAATCGTTATTATCATCATTTTTTTATAAATTTTTTTTCGCAATTTCCTGTTCATTTTATATTTATATTTAAATAATCTTACCAATGTTTAATAATATTATAAAAATATTAAATAAAAAAAATATTGTCAATCAATAAGGAATACATATATCAAAAAGATATAGATAATCTATAAATAGAGATTAATCAGTAATTGTTAATATATATATATCTAGTATGGATTTTTTATATAATCATATAAGATTGATAATATTTAAGCTATTATTATACCATTTTTTTTTAATTTTTAAATATTCCAACTTTTATTTCTATTATGAATATATTACTACTTTTTAGTAATTATAAAATAATATTAAAGAAAATGCAATATTTGCTTAATGGATAAAAATAAATAAACCAAACAAGACAATTCTAAAAAATATCAAGGAAAACGCAATATTTGCTTAATTAAAAGAAATAAATAAACCAAACAAGACAATTTTTTCCCAATATAATATGTATTTGTGCATATATATAAGAAAACAGAATACGTAATAATCTTTAATTCATTATCAACGTTTTTTTTTTTTTTTCTTTATTATAAATATTTACGAATTATAATCGAATCAAATAATATACATTTACATTTTGTTCATTACAAGAATCTTCTGGTTTTAATCATTCCTACTTCAACCAGGGTCATTCAGGAAGTCGTAAAATATAAATATTTTTTCACTCGCAATATCCAAGAATACTAGCAATATTCTTATTAAATTTATCGCCATATTTATGTCTTACAATATCAAATGAAATATTACAACTTTTATTTATGTTTTTTTCATTATATTATATAAAAATAAATAAATAATGATGATATCTATGATGATTAAAATAAAAAATAATCCAATTAGTTTATCGAACAATGAGGTGGAAATTTAATTTGTAAAAAAAAAATATAATATTCATAGAATAATGAACGAATAAAAAAATATTGTAATATATATTGTAACACTTTGTATCTATGTTTTTATGCATAGATTAATTATTAAATATATAGGACATAATTTTTCAATCTGCTAAATTTAATATCAAAATTTTTCGACACAAATAGGCGAGACCAATATCGTCGCCAAACAGCTAAATTTTGATCCGGCAGTTCTAATTTCTCCCCAGGCGCCTGGATTTTATCCGAAATATCCGTCGAGGCGCGATTGTGACATAAGTTTGGATAAAGTGGCGACCGAAATAAATCCCAAGTTCTGACAAGAGAAGAGAGATACTTGTATACGATACAGGGAGATAGTAGGCGTGAGAACCGAGCACGTGCGAATATTTGGGATATCGAATTTGAATCAGGATGCTCAAGATCTTGCAGTATCTAGGAAATTTCGCAAGAAACTGCACGAACTATCCGAATTCTCTGAAGCATTCGTCCAGTAGAATTGTAAATGTTTGCATGCTCCAAAGTTTTTCGTTTTTGATTACATACACACTTGAATTATCTAAATTGAAAATTATAAATAAGGGATATTCTAAATGACTAGATAAACTGTATTTTCACTTTTTCTTATAATATAATATTCTTTTCTTTTTAAATTAATAATTAATTTTAAATAAGTATTAAAATAAAAATTTCAAAAAGATTAAAAAATATATAAATTATTATAAATATTATTATAGACGAAAAAAATTAAAAGTTTATATCGCATTATTTTTAATTTATAATATTTACTAATTGATAATGTTTTATTCGTGGCTATATTTTTTTTTTTCATAAAAATCGTATTTTACATATTTTTAAATATATAAATAGATATTTAATTTAAAAAATAACAAAGAATAATAAACATAATAAATTGCATCAACAAAAATTTATTTCATGTAATATTATTTTTAATGTTTAATTTTATCCATCATGATTTAACAATTTTTAGTTTATCTTTCATTATATTTTTTTTAGCTACTTAGATACTTACTCTCTAATCTAAAAAAAAAAAAAAAAGAATAATAATTTAATCAGAATTACAGAAACCAATAAATAATGCTTACGTTGCAATATTGTCCTGGTTTTCCTCTTAATTTTGCAATCGCAAATTTATACAGAAGATATGTCGATTTAAGAAAACAATTCTGGAAAATATTCCACATCACGTCGATATAATAATTGCGTACAACGTTTATTTTTTTAACGAACCGCTATTTCCTTTTTTCCTCATTGACTTTCATCATTATTGTAAATGAAGATACAATAAAAAATCTCATGTTCTAAAAAAAATTGAAAAATTTATAAAATAAAGGATCTCACTATAGTTTTGATCGTTACAGTTATTTCCTGTATCTTCTGATTTTGCAGTTTTTCATAATTTAGACTACGTATTCAATATGAAAAAAAAAACAACACGAGAAATAAAACTATATTTATAAAATTATTCTTTCATTAATCTATCATTCATTTCAACAAATCATTATTAAAATTGAGTCTAGTAACTTTTGAAAAATTAACTTCCAATTATTATAATTTATGCACAACAATCGATCAATATATCGGGACAAAGATTCAAAGTTCTTGAACAAAGTTATTAAAGGGAGAACTTTTTTCGATAACTTTATAAACTGCGCTTTATTTTATTAAATAATTGTAAATAATTTTTCTTATCTCATTTTCTTTCTTATCTGATCTTAATTCTTATCCTTGATTTAAAATAATCTTAAAATAATAATAAAAATATTAAAAATAAAAATATTATTTAAATTGCATAATAATTTAATATAATTGCACAATATTTTAGAAACTAATAATATCAGTGATTTTAAAAATTATAAATTATATATAAAAACGATTTTACAAAACAATTTTTTTCGCAGTAAAAAATCAATAACTATATTAACTTTCATCCCCTATCGCTCCATTGCAGTTATCCCAACTGCGGTTACAGATCATTTATTTCCAACACCCAATATTCCAATATAATATTCACAGAATAAAAAAATTCACAGAGTGAAAGACTTTCTTTCAGATAATCGATAATATATGTAATCTAATTAACTTTTAATTTAACACTGAAACTATCAAATACTCGTCCAAATAGTATAGATTTCTTATTTTTTTTCAATTATAAAAAATATACAAGTTTTTTTCAAAATTTTTCAAAAAGTTTTTTTAAAATATAATAATTAGAATGTGGATTTTTATAAATATATTTATAATTAATATATTTTTTTTATATTTATATATATTTGTATATATTGATATTTGTATATTATTTGATATTTCTAATATTAATTACATAATTACGTAAATGTATCATACTATCGAATTTCTAATACGTACTCCATTATTACATTTATATACATATATATATGTGTATATCTGTTACGGATTCAGAACTCGATATGCCAACGTACAAACCAGATTATTCTCGATCAGGAGAATCAACCTTCTGAAACTGTATATACGTATTATCTCGAATATATAAAGAAAGAAGATGTACAGAATGAAACACATGAATGAAATTATTTTTAAATTTTGAAAAAAAAATTTGAATGAAAAATATTAATTTCAAATATTTTTCTATCATATCTGAAGCACTAATTTTTGATATATTAATTGCTAAAAAGCTATTTTTCTAACATTGTTCAATTTAATTGTTCAATTTATTTTAATATTTTGAAATAAACAATTTTATTTTAACAAAAAACAGTAATAAAAATTTTATTTAAAAGATGTATTTAAAATATTTAAATTTTAAGGTAAACGATCTTTTATTTCTTTCAGTAGAGAATATTGATTAGACCGTAAGAGAACATAATAAAATGAAGTAATGAGATGTTAAGATATAAGAATTTAAAATTCTTAAAATTCATAATACGTTGAGAGAATTAAAAAATGTTTAACGAATATAAAATGATAACGAATTTAAAATCAATCATTTTAAAATATAAATTCAAGTTTCATTTATTATTGAATTATATGTCCTCTTAATACATTTTAATTCTTTAACTTGCAATAAACAAATTATTACAAATTTCGTATTATCGATTGTAATTTCTAAATACACTAAAAATGAAAAGAATTTAAAAAATGTTACTAAAAAATATAATTACAAAACCACATATAATTGTTCAAAAAAAAAATTAATAATTACTAGATTAAACTCTTTCCTAATCAGACTTAAAAGTTTTTAGGAATTTCTTTTATAGTATTTTAAAATTACTTTTTAAAATAATTTAAGAAATAATCTATTTTTGAGATAATAAGTTTATCACTTCATGAAATAAATTACTTATTATTTATTTGCTAAATTGAAAATAATTAGTTTTAAATATGCAGCATCAAATGTTTATATTTACTACTAGAATTATTGCTCAATATTTGCTCCGACTGTTATTTCAGAAAGAAATATTTCTCTCGAATAATCGATTTCTCAATTTATTATTTTCCTCTCTTACATTCACCCTATCACAATATCTCTCTTACATTTAAAATATATTATTCATCAAATAATAATCAACAATATTCAAACTATTTTTAAATCAATATTAAAATAAAATTTCCTCCAAATCTTCTCCCAAACACACTCCATTTCTTATTATATCCACCCTATCACAATATCCAGAATTCAAGCTCAACATACACAATCTTTACACCTTCGACCTCGAGAAATATCAATCTCTCGTCGTGCAACCACCCCACACAACACAACCTCCACCCATCCGCCAAAGACAACGACCTTTCTCTCCTCTCCCTAGATATATTCTTTTCCATTTCTTTTTTCATCACGCCACTATATTCCACGGATCCGGCATTATTTCTTCTCCCGTAGGAATCTTCACTCTCGTCCACACCCTGTTATTTCAGCTTTGATTCGAGTGTTCTATTTGCAGATGACCGTCACCGAGAAACGAGCGTAGTAGCATTTCGTAAATCTCGCCTGTTTAAACCGTATCGGTTGGCTTTTCGAGGGCCGAGAGGTGACGGAGGCGGTGGTGGCTGCGTCTTCTTACGTTGACGCGATAAAGCGTGGTTGAAAGGGGGTTAGGGGGATCCGGAGGGGCCCTGGATTGACGTCATTCGATGACGTCAACCAGGACTGTGTCAAAACCGCTCAGGAACCATGTGCACAGTCGAATATCCTGACTACGTGACCTAGTGCAGCTGTTCACTCCGCGAAACGAAGTTTTGTAATACGCTTTTTCGACCATTTTTTTCAACGAATCGAGTGTAATTTGTGGAGATTAGATTTGGGGAGGAAGGGAAAATGGGAATCTTGATTCCTTGAGGATGTCTTGAATAATGTGGATTAAGACATTGAGGAGTAATTCTGTTTTTTTCTTCCTTGAAATAGTGATGGAGATAATATTAGAAATGCTCTGTATATATATTGTTTCTTTTTTGAAGATTATCTTTTGGCTTTTTAAAATTGTCATGTAATTATTATATTGTAAAATTTTTATAAATTAGAATATAAACTTGTATTTGTAACATTAAAGAGTTTTTTGTATATATTTGAAATTAAATTTAGATGTATAAATTAAATTATGTATAACACATATTGGATTTTGTATAATTTTGTTTTCTAAAGTTTACATGTAATACTAAAGTTTCTTACATATGTTAGATTTAGATTTATAAATTAAACTATAAATTAGATTGCATAAAATAAATTTTCTAATATTAATAAAGTCTTTATATATTATAGATTCATAAAATTATATATTTGGATTTATAGATTAATTTATAGATTTATAAATTAAATTAGTGTTTGTTCATTTCAAAATTATTCAAGATTTCGCAGTATAAGATGAAAATTTTTATTTATTTGAAATAATAATACATTATGATACTTTTTGCAATTTATTATTATTTCGACTTAGCTATCTTTTAAATTCACATTTCATTTTCTATATTCTAGATCCTTTAGATCTGTTTTTAATCTTTCATCATAATCAAAATTTATCATTATTGTAATTACAGTCTTAGATACAAATCTTAGATTCATAAAAAATTTATTATCATTTCATAATTTTTCAATTCTATATTGTAAGGAAAGAAAAACATTTTATAATGAAGAAAAAAAATATTGATCTCATAAATAAATATCACATTAATGTATTTGATTCGTATAAACATATTGCATACGTTAATAATTAAACAAATAAAATAAAAAATAATAATTCACTATTAATGAATTATTTATTTCCTATTTGTTACATCGTACTATTTTGAAATCACAATTGATAATCTTAACTTAATTTTAAATTTGTGAATGCAATCAAAAAATCCTTAAAATTTTCAAGATGATTTGTAATCAAAGATCAGAGGTAAAAATTTTTGAAGATGCTTCGAAAGTTTTTAAATTTCGAACTTCGAACTGAAGACGTCAGAAATTGCCTTGAATTTCATTATGCAACTTCGGCACAATTGTCAACATTTATATATCCATGTATATATATGTGCATATATATATATATGTGTGTACCAGATGAAGATAATGTCCAGACTTTGATAGTCAAACAAAAGCTCGTTATCAATAAAATCTTTTTTCATCTTCTTATTTCAATTTCAAAGCAAAAATATATTATCGAAATTCCAATAAATCTAACAATTTTTTAAAATATGAAGATTAATATTCGACAATTATTTGCCATTCAAAACTGAATACAAAAATATTTTTAAAATGCTTAACAATGCCTCTATTAAATGAATGATATTTATAAAGTATAAAAATTATAAAATTTAAAAATTATTATATTTTTTTAAAAGATTTCCTGAACTTTTGTCACATATAGTTTCTAATAATAGATTTTCATAATCATAACGAGTAATAAAACCGTAAAAATATTTTTTGATTTTTTAAATGAAATTTTTTGTAATAGATTTCAAATTATTCTAAAATATCACATATACAATTTCATTATTATCGTCAAATAAAAAGTCTTATTTGTCTTGGCTAAAATAATTGCAAACTATAAAAAAAAAACTATAAAAAAGAACATAGAAATCATCAATTATTTCATCAGCGCTATTGGATAACTGATTCCAACAAATCCGTAACGATTTCGAATTTATTATGACATAAATGGATAAAGTACAGTTTTATACTTTGAAAGTGAAATCATAATAGCTAACCAACAGAGGTAAAAAGCTGGAAAGTTAATTGGTTGAAGTTGAAGAGAAAGCGAAACATCTTATTACGAAACATTTGTTTATCGTATCTTGGTCAAAGTACTTTTAAGGATTAAATGTTATAATCAAGTACACAAAAAGAAAAATAGTAAATAATAATTTATTTTTCAGTGTTTCCATATTTTAAATTTTCAAACATAAAATATAAATTTTAATTATATATAAAATATAAAATTTTGAATTTTATAGAAATTTTTTTAAAATATACAAATTAAAGAGTTATTATTGATTCTATTTAAAAGATAGATTTAATTTTTTTAAAAAAATAAAAAAAATAAATAAATTATTAAAATAAATTATTAAAAATTACTAAAAAGATAAATTCAAAAAACTGACTCATAAAAAATACATATGATTCACTACGATCTTTTAGCCTCAAAAAATATTTTCCATTTCTGCAACATTTTACATTCGACTAAAATGTTGTTCGTAGATCTCACATAAATTCTACTCTCGTTTAATCTTCATATAAATCGATGACAACGCCATTTTATTCGATTATAGTGTTAAAACAAATTGATGTTTCGATCGCAACAATTCGAGAATCCTTTTATTACAAACTTTTATTACAAAATTACAAACAACCTATTATTCGTCATTTATTATTCAAATAGAATTTATCTACACAACAAACATTTATTTTTATACAAAATCAGATATCCGAGTTAACTCGTTGAATAAAATTTTATTCTACAAGAATAGACTAAGAAAAAATATCTTATTTTGTAATTATAAATTTTTTTATTGAAAAAAATTAAAAAAATAATCATTCAATTTTAATTTTTTCTTTGTTCTTAATGAGAACATTTGCAATGTCTGCATAATGAGCTCTGTCATGATGATCCTCAATGTCTTTCAATTTTAAGGTCTCATGAATTTACTATAGATCCCTATATCTCGATGTAGATAAAATAAACGAACTTGGAGAGAAAAGGCAAAACTATAGGACTACTTATTTTAAGAAATCATTTGTGAGCCGTAGGAAACGCATATGATCCGCTATTTTAAACTCACGACGCGCAAAAGTCTGGAGGTACGCAGACTGACCCCAGGTCCGGGTTGTTTTTTCAATTAATCCATTGATTGCCAACTTCTTTTTTTCTCATATTATTTTTACATAATTTTGTAGACTTTTTTAAATTGATTTTTAATTTTTTTCTAAAATATATTTCTGACAAATTTATTATTTATTGTGTACATTATAAATTGATTTAAAATTTTAAAAACTCACTAAGACTCATTAAGATAATTTCTGCTATAAAATGATGTGCAATCTTTAGAAAACATCTTTAAAATTTTTTTAGGGCATCCTTCAAAATTTATAAAATATATATTTTTTTGCTATTTGAATATAAATCAATCAATTTAAATGCTTATAATTAATATTTTATATAAAAAAAATATATATAAAAAGAGTTTTTCTATTTAGAAATCAATAGATATTTTACAATTATAAAAAAAGACAGAATAGAAATATTAAACACTAAAGTTTTGATACACACATAATAGTAACTTTTAACTGTTATTAAAATTTAAATAAAATGAAGATTAGAATGACCTTTCCCAGCGATCATTATTATTCAATAATTTTCTTGCTTAATAGATTTTTCTTGTTTCTGTCACAACAAGAAGTTTTTACATCCATATATTTTAATAGAATTTATTCTTTGATTTTCAAAGAATCAAAAAATTGATCTAATCATAGTTTTAGAATAATTATGAAAAATATATTTATAAATTTACATAAATTTAGAATCTACAATCTAGACTTTATTTACAATTTCTATACGGGGAATAAGTTGATTAATTGATTAATTAAAATTGTCAACAAAGAGAATAAATAAATTTTAAAAATCAACAAGGCCAAAGAATTTTCTAACCTTAAGTTTGTTCTTAACGCTACACTATTTCGCGCGAGCGTCAGTTTAAGACCAATCTTCGTAATCCTATTATTCTAATCCTATTACTAGATTTTCTAATAATGCTAACAGTTTATGCAGTAGTTTTACGTTTTTTATAGTTCAATATGTATTCTTTTAATTATCATTAGCATATAAAAGTAGACACTCATTTTCATTTAAATATTTGATTACATGACTACTTTAAATAATATTTCTATTATTATTTTCGATAATATTACATTAATAAATTATCACATCTATTTCCATAACATTTCTCAATTTATATCACATTAATTTTGTCGTTAATCCATATAGATTTAATACGAATTTTATAGATTTTATAGATTATATTTTATAGAATTTTATAGATTTAATACGAATTTAATACGATTTAATAAATTGTTAATATGTATTTTTGATATGTTAATATGTATTATTTGCTTGTAAAAAATCGATCAAATTCTTAAATATACTGTATTTGAAATCAAATATCAATGTTACAATATTAAAAGAAACGAATAATGAATCATAATTTTAGCGTGACGAACAAAACACATAATAATTATCGTTTCAAAAAATTATCTATCAAAAGAAACCTTGATAACTTTGAATCATACCGCGAAACAAGATGACGCGCGATGATCTTGTTTTTAAAATAATAGAGAAATTAGACGAAGGAATTAAATTTTTTTGAAGAATAGAAAAAAGTCTCAGACAAAAAAAAAATATAATAAAGATATACAAAATACTAATAAATGTATAAAACATATAAAAGAACAATAAACATCTATAATAATGAAAAAAATTATGTGAAAACAGACGTTCTAAGAATCAAAAGAAAATACAAAAAAAAATAATAAACATACAGGAAATAGGACATGCAAAAAAAAAAATAAAAAGGAAATAAAAAAATACCCCAAAAGAAAGAAAATAAACACAAGCAGAAATATATTTCAAGAAAAATATGACAATAATATTTAAAAAAGATAGAAAATACAAAAAGAAAGAAAAGAATAAGAGATGTACTTATAGAAAAAAAAATAAGAAAAAGTAAAATAAGGAACATCACAGAAGAAAGAAAGAAGGAAAAAAGAAACAAAGAAAAAAATATGACAGAAATATCTAAAGAAGAAAAATAAAAATTGAGAAAAGGGCACGAGACGTATGTGTGCATATAAGAAAGATTAAAAACAACGGAAGCTTCCACGAGCGAGTTCATGCGAA